TCAAGTGTCTAATCAGTTTTACTCGCGTATTTAAACGTAGCAAGAAAGTTGTGTGAGAATTTCGGTATGATAATGAGCAATTATTTGTGCTAGAAACATTGTCATCAGTAAACATTACTGTATAACACTGTGTGATTTATGAAAATAAAATTTTATCCATAATGGGGTTAACTAAATAGCGGCTTGCGGAAATACGTAAAATATGGCAGTTTCTTCTAATAAATTTTCACTGTCTTCCTGATACATATGGAACACATCGGCACTGATGTAGTATGTAATTCCACATTGATTTCGCTTATTGAGTATTTCTTTTTGATCTTTTTTATTTTTGATTACAGCTTGATTCCACACTGTACTTGTGGTACAAGTATGGAATTTTCAGCATGTGATACCGGTAGCCCAAATATTGCAGGCCGACCATATATATCAGATGTGCGTCGGCAGAGGATCGAACCTCGGACCATGTGCATTGTCGGCGAGAATCCTAACCGCTGTGCCACCAACGCACACATAGTGAAACAGTATTATTATTTACTGGATGACATTTTGAACACAATTTAATGTTCACGCTCATCTCACTCATAACTATAGAAATTCGAAACTTTCTTTCCTAAAGCTGTACCGTAGACAATACAATTTCACTATGTGTCACATCTAATAAACGAAACATTGTGAGTTTCCGTGGTCATCATATACAAGAAAACATTATTCTCATTAGGATTCACATGTGCGTCGGTGGCACAGTGGTTAGGACTCTCGCCAACCATGCACATGGTCCGGGGTTCGAGCGCACGCCGACGCACACCTGATATCTATGGTCGACCTGCGAATTTCGGGCTACCGATATCCACGCTGAAATTCCACACTTGTACCAAAAATACGGTGTGGAGTCAAGCTGTAATCAAAAATAAAAAATAAATAAAAATTTAGAATTCACTGACGTCCTTTACATCATGCACAAACTCTCGCAGGGTATATTGACAATTAGAATTAGAAATGTGTTCATATTAAACTTATTGGTCTCCGAGTCTTTATTTTTGTTTAAGAGGTACTGAAATACAGCGGTTTATCCTTTAAAATGTGCACTGGTCACAGTTTTTGCACCAGAGACTGTTTTACAAGGGGAAACAAAGTCACATTAAATGTCAGAATCCTGAGGAAATGCACTAGTCTCATATTCAGTCGCCTAAAGACATAATGAGTATATTGGAGTTACTGTGAAACCGCTACACAAATAATTGTCAGCGGACAGCTATGTCTGAACAAGAGTTTGTGGGTAAATACTTTGTGATGTTATTTCTCCAAAACTAAAGTGTTTGCTAACATTTCTTGTAGAAACTTTTGCATTTGATAGCGAGTGGTTTCGCAAACAAATTTATGTGATGGTACTGCTTAGCGACAATATAATTTGATGCACTGAAACCTTCACTGAAAATATTCACCTGAAACTTCTAATATCAATATATATACATATATATATATATATGAACTCGGATCGCGGTCTCTATTCACTCGGGAAGCCAGTTCTATTTGAGTTCAAACAGGTGATGTCTTAATCCAGTCGAGTAATACAATAGCATCTTATTTGTAGTTATCTTTATAATGAAGGCAGGCATATAAAAGAATCTACTGAATGTATAATTTCTCAAGGTGGAAGCTACGAAATGATATGACTCTACCTTCAGAAACCAAATGGTCTACTCGTAATAGAAATAATTCCCTTACGTTGCTTACAGGTTCACTTCTCATTATTTTGAGGACGAGACATACGCTTTGTTCATGGATGCATCACGATTCAATCAGAATAAATAAACAACCCCATGACACAATAATGACGCTAATTTATACATTTGGCGTTTTCAAGGCAGCTGACTGATGAAAGTTTTCTACATTTATATGCATATAAACACATATAGTGATGTTGCTACAAACAAAGTCCTGGAAAGTTACTGGAACACAAGACGCGTATTTATTTCCATTCAAGATTTATTCCTAGTTAATACGTGGCCATCAAGTGAACTATGCTGTTTCTACTAGTACACAGTTTGGTTAATGACACTGCTCTTTGGCGTAAAAATAATGTCACGCTACAGCTGAAGCTCTGAGATACTTCAATTCTCTTGTGTTCATTCACCTGAAGATACAAAAAACAACATATTTGAGTTGTTTCTCAACTGAGGATTGCAAAACCGGCAAACAGACAACTATCTATCGATAAATATGTTGGAATAAGCTTCTCTTAGCTGAATGCTCTCAGTGTCGATTCCCTGAAAATTAATATATGTTTACTGCATTCGGCTTTGCTGAAGAAAAGCGGTATCACGAAATGCAAAGAAAGTTTTATCGAAAATATAGTTTCCGCAAATATGTCAAACAGACTTCACAAAATTTCACAAATACTCAGTAGTAGGTTATAAGGAGCGTTTTACTTAGTATAATTATTTGATGGAGATTGTGGATCTTTGAGATTCTCAAAGATCGAAATACTTGTTACCCGAAAAGCTCTTGATCATCTACGCAGCTACCATTTTTTATAAAATTACTGCAGTGTATAACTGAGGACTCCAGTGCTCATAATTGAACTTATGTTGAGAAAGTCTACCTAACAGATTCTGATGAATATATCAGTTGCTTCAGAGTAAATGCTGGGAGTTCATACCAACCTGACTTTACAGACCAAATGAATTAAGAAAAAAGGGAAATTCACTGCTAAAAATAGGTAGGGTACTGCTTAGTGACAATATAATTTGATGCACTGAAACCTTCACTGAAAATATTCACCTGAAACTTCTAATATATATATATATATATATATATATATATATATATATATAGATAGATAGATAGATAGATATAGATATAGATATATATGAACTCAGATCGCGGTCTCTATTCACTTGGGAAAGCCAGTTCTATTTGAGTTCAAACAGGTGATGTCTTAATCCAATGGAGTAATTCAGTAGCATCCTACTTATAACTGTCTTTATAATGAAGGTAAGCATATAAATGAATCTGCTGATTGTATATTTTCCCGAGATGGAAGCTACGAAATGATATGACTGCCTTCAGAAACCAAATGGTCCACTCGAAATAGAAATTATTTTCTGAATAAACCAGATAAATTAATCCCCTTACGTTGCATATGGGTTCACGTCTCATTATTTTAAGGATGAGACATACCATTTGTTCATTAACAGCATTACGTTTCACTCAAAATAAATAAAGGAACTCATGACGCAATAATGACGCTAATTTATACGTTTGGTGTTTACAAGACAGCTGACTGATGAAAGTTATACACATTTATATGCATGTATACATAAATTGTGATGCAAATACAAACAAAGTCCTGGAAAGGTACTGCAATACAAGACACGTATTTCTTTCTATTCAAGATTCATCCCTAGTTAATACGTAGCCATCCAGTGAACTATGCTGTTTCTAAAAGGTCACGCTATAGCTGAAATTCTAAGAAACTTCAATTGTATCCCCTTCAGTCAGCTGTAGATACAAAACAACATATTTGAGTTGTTTCTGGACTGAGGATTGCGAAACCGGCAAACGGACACCTATCTATCGATAAATATGTTGGAATAAATTTCTCTTAGCTGAATGCTCTGTGTCGATTTCCTGAAAATTAAAATGTTAACTGCATTCGGCTCTTCGTAACTCCCCAAACATTTATGTCATGTTTCTGAAGAAAAATGGTATCACGCAATCCATAGACAGTTTTGTCGATAATAATTATGGATCTTTGAGATTCTCAGAGATCTAAATACCCGAAAAGCTCTTAATCATCTACGCAGCTAACCTTTTTATAAAATTACTGCAATGTATAACTAAAGTCAAATGAATATTGCTTCTGAGGACTCCAGTGCTCTTAATTGACCTTATGTTGAGAAAGTCTACCTAACAGATTCTGATGAATATATCAGTTGCTTCAGAGTAAATGCTGGGAGTTCATACCACCCTGACTTTACAGACCAAATGAATTAAGAAAAAAGGGAAATTCACCGCTAAATAACGGTAGGGTATTAAATATTTTTGCGCATGCAAAGGTTCATTTCTTGTCTATTTCAGAGGGACACGGGGAATTCGAAGCAGTTATCACTCCTCACATATTGGAACAACTACTTAATTTAGAATTTGATGACTGAAAGTAGATGTGATATGCAGCTTTTGTACGACAACAGACTACTCAAATGCATTCATCTGTGTTCACCCATGTATATATAGTGTAGGGATAAGGTTGGAATTTAGTTCATTTCAAATTTATTTCTTCCCTTTTAGAAACAAACGCAATCTCAAATATTTCACACGTTATTAAATCATACCAAAGTCAGATGATCAACGATAGCCGAATCTTGTGTACATAACATAAGTAATTATTTGAATTTCTTGGCAGTTCTTCATATTCTTCTGAAAAACTTAGTCCCTTTGAAATATACAGGCTCTCAGTAGGCATGTATTAATTTTATTTTATTTTTTATTTTTTTGATTACAGCTTGATTCCATACAGTATTTTTGGTACAAGTATGAAATTTTCAGCATGTGACATCGGTAGTTCAAATTTCGCAGGCTGACCATAGATATCAGATGTGCGTCGGCGTATGCTCGAACCCCGGACCATGTGTATGGTCGGCGAGAGTCCTAACCACTGTGCCACCGACGCACTGACAACTCAAAAATAACATGACTTCATCATCGTTCAGGGAGGTAGGATACACGTTTCATCTTATTGTAGATCACCGACTACATCCAGAATGAGTGAATACATATATATCTATTTAAAAAAATTAGTCTTTTTTATAAATTTACATAGCATTATTAGAGGCCAGAGATTATCTGAAAAACGATGTGATGTATTTGCGCTATACATTTCGAACAATCTGATCAAGTCATATATATATATATTTGGAAAAGTTAAATTAAACAAAGTGACAGAAACGAATTAAGAATAATTAACACAACGTTTGGTAATCCAATAAAATAAGGATTACTAAGGTTGGTTAAGGGTTATAACAAACTGTTTTTGAATACACAAGGGGGGCTTAAGTTTATGAATAGCTGTAGTCTCAGCGTATTTAAGAAAGCACCCATGACCGTTTTATAGATGACATTAAAGCCTGAGTTAACATCAATCTTATGGTTCATCTCGATTAGATGTTTAGCTATAGACGAATTTGGTTGCCTGACACCTGCGTCTATTGGTTTTTCACAATTCAGTTGATTTTCTAACACTTTTAGGATATGCTCTCCCACCCTCACATGCAAAGCGCGATTACTCCTCCCTGTGTTTGTGTGTCCACACACACACACACACACGAAAATTGGTAAAGTGTGTGGGATGTGACATAATATGTAGGTATCAGGCAACAATGACTTGGTAGACTAAATCTACTATGAGCTGACTAAACGCTAGATGCAAATCAGATCACGTTTATCCATCACCTGATTATTACCATATCACTGACCTTTGTCAAAGTAACAGGTACTTAGCTAAATATTTACTAAAAATATGCGTGACCAGCAATCAAATAGTAGATTTACAAAGCAGTTGTTTATCTGAATCAAAAATGTAAGGAGGTTTTCGGGATTTCCTTTCTTCATATTTGCATGAGAATGTGTCTCTCTCACTTGCTCATATTTTAATACTTGTATTTGCCTCATTTTCGAAAGTTTGCAGTTTCGAAACAAAAAGTTGATATCAGTTAAAACAATTAGTCCTTTCATAAATTTTGATAGCGTTGTTAGCAGACAGAGATTATCTCAAAAAATGTGATGTATTTGTGTTAAACATTTCGAATAATCTGATCACACATTTACTTGTTAAGTCAATATACATGGAAAAGTGAAAAAAAAGTGACAAAAAGGAATCAGGAATAATTATCACAACGTTTGGTAATCCAATCAAATAAGGATTACCAAAGTAGGTTAGGAGTAATAACATAAAATGTTTTTGAATACACCGGTGTGGGGGGGGCTTGAGTTTATCTAATAAACAATCAAATGGGGAATTAGGTTTCTGAATAGCTATAGTCTCAGCGTATTTCATTAAGCGCCCTTGATGGTTTTAAAGATGACCTTAAAGGCTGAGTTAACGAACGAAATACTCCCATATTGAGTCATGAGAAAAAAGGACAAACAGCAAAGAGATTTTCATTTTGACGATTCATTTTCATGAACTGTATTTTTTTTAAATATTTTTGATTTACAGCTTGATTACACACTGTATTTTTGGTACAAGTATGTAATTTTCAGCACGGATATCAGTAGCCCAAGTTTTGCAGGCCGACCATAGATATCAGGTGTGCATCGGCAGGGGATCGAACCTCGGACCATGTGAATGGTCGACGAGAGTCCTAACCACTGTGCCACCGACGCACAGTCGTATTTTTAATTAACAAAGATATCTTTACACCAATAAGATACTGGTGAACTTTGACCATGAAAAAATTGTATTACAAAAATGTAAGGTGTAAGAAGGGATGACTAATTGTAAGTCAGAAAGAAGACAGAAGTTGGCATCACATAAAATGTGTGAGATAATGACTATTCAATAAGCTCGTGTAGAATGGACAGGAACTAGTGGAAAGGCTATAAAGTGTTTGTGTATAAAATCTGTATGAAAATGTAATGTTATTAATAAACAGTAATGGAGTGGTAATAAAATTTGGATTATAGGAATAATAATGATAATAAAAATAAAAGCATTAATAACAATATTACTAAACGTGAACTTACATAACCAAGCTGGGCAGTGTCCCAGAATACGTTTATGGACTTGACGTTGCGTACGGCAGGTATACTTTGCTCCTCACGAGCAAGTAAATTGATAAATACACACTGAAGTATCCAAAAGCTGTATGCTGTCCTTAGCGTATCTGATTGGTATAAAGATCTCTTTAATAATTATAATTACGATTGTACAGCTCATGAAAATCAGTCGTCGAAAAGAAAGTTTTCTTCGCTGTTTGTGCCTTTTTCTTATGGCTGAGTTAACATCAATCTTATGGTTCATCTCGATTAGATGTTTGGCTATAGACGAAGTTGGTAGTCTGACACCTGCATCTATTGGTTTTTCACAATTCATTTGTTTTTCTAACCATTTTGGGATATGCTCTCCCGCACCCACATGCAAAGCGCGATTACTCATCCCCATGTATGTGTTCCAACACACACGAAAATTGTTAAATTGTGTGGGATGTGGCATAATCACTTGTGCACCCTTGAGGTTTGCAGTGGAGCTTATTTCTAGCTTTCTCGACAATTACAAGCCGGCTTGCATAACGCATGGTCGAATTCAACCTTTGTCTAAAAATCCTATTGTTTATTTCCCCGTCATATGGTAATTTGATGGAAAGATTATTCTTAAGGGCGGTATAAACTGTAGGTTTAGTGACTAATTGATTTCTAAGCCTGTTTAAAAATTTTAAAGGATATCCGTTTTCAACAAGAGTATCTAACAATATTTCGTTTTCTTTGTCGATAAAAACAGCCGGGCATATATTCTGAATCCTCTTAAATAGACATTTCACCAAGCCAGAAAATGTGAAAATTAAGGTCCTGTCTGACTGTGCTTTCTGTAGATAGACGGTCTTATTGAGCCATCATCTCTTCGACTCGGAAGTGTGCTTAAAACTGCAAGCTGGCTGCAACTTTCTTCCTCACATGTAAGAATAATATGATTCTGTATAGAGTTCAGTCTGTTTAATGGACGACTTGCATCTTCATGATAGTCGCAAATCATCTAAATACCTGACGTTGTGTTAATTATTCCTAATTATTTTTGTCACCTTGTTTAATTTTACTTTTCATATATATATATATGCATATATATATATGCGTCGGTGGCACAGTGGTTAGGACTCTCGCCGACCATGCACATGGTCCGGAGTTCGAGCCCACGCCGGCGCACACCTGATATCTATGGTTGGCCTGCAAAATTTGGGCTACCGATATCCATGCTGAAAATTACATACTTGTACCAAAAATACAGTGTGGAATCAAGCTGTAAATAAAAAAATAAAAAATCTATTGACTTGACAAGTAAATTTTTGCTCAGATTGTTCGAAATGTATAGCGCAAATGCATCACATCGTTTTTCAGATAATCTCCGTCTTCTAATAATGCTATCCAAATGTGTACCTATATTATTCATGGTGTTAATAACAGCATAAACACTTAAATCTTATCTGTTTCGATGATGTGTTCGTTCCATACCGCATGATAATTGAAGCCAATTAGTGAATCAACACATCACACAACATCTCAACTGATTCGTTCAAACTCAATTACAAGAATAACAGAAACCTACCAAAGTCAGTACGTTTCCGACTTCTTTGTACTGCCGAAGACCTCACAATATGCATCGAAGAGCCGCAGTTGTGTGTTCAAAAGAAATTAGTCAAACTCATACAACTAATATGGAGTTTTCTCTTTGTCTACATTAAATTCATATTATTTTTCAGTTATTTCAGTCTAATTCCATGCTCTTCGTTTAAAAAACTGTTTCTACAGTGATATCACACTCCTGTGTAATTTTTGTTGCTAAGACTCTGGTTTTCCCTGCCTAGTTGAAAATAATTATCACCTATTTTTCGCCTCCGTTACTGTGTGGAATCAAATAAAAATTGTTTCTATGTCATTCCATATTAGTTTGTTTATTAAATGTATCAAACAGTGAAACAGTATTATTTACTGGATGACACAGTTTTGAACAAAATTTATGGTTCATAATCATATCAATTGTAATCACACGACTTCGAAACTTGAGTTTTATTGTCTTCTTTGTTCTCTCCTATTTGTCGTACGGGTAGTAGAATCAGTCTCTCAACACATATATTAAGTCCTACAGAAATAAGTTCATTATCAAAGAGACTAAATTTCAATGTAGCGGTGGACAAGCTGAAACCTGAGGATGTCATCCCTAAAATAGAAATAGCACTAAGTGGGATAGACAAAACAACAGCTGAAGAAGTACGTGCACAAAGCGCACTAACACTTAAACGACTAAAACGTGGGAAATCTACTTTGACAAAATCAGATATAAAAGCCTCAAAACACCTTAGGAATAACAAGGATATAGCGATCACAAAGTCAAACAAAGGAAATGCAACAGTGGACTATTTGGACAAGGTGAATACTCACATGCAAACAGGACCATATGAGGAAATTTATAAATCAATACACACCGTTATGAATATGGTTAAAAAATCCACAGCGGGTCCTAAACGCGAATAAAGCCGTGAGCCTAGGTGAGTCTAAATGGTTTAATTTAATGCCCAAAACTAATAACCCTAGTAGGATGTATGGTGTTGTTACAGTTCATAAGTCAGGATACCCTATTGGGCCTATTGTTAATTTTAGAAATTCACCTGCTTATGAGTTATCAAAATATTTAGCCATGGTATTAAATCGCCTTAAAAGCCACTCGAAATCTAGACTAACTAATTCTTATGAACTAAAACACAGATTAGATAACTTAAAATTATATAATGTAGAGAAAATGGTTAGTTTTGACATTGTCAGTTTACATACATGTATACCAATAAATATGCTTATATAGGCAATCAGAAACCAACTCATTTCTGACTAATAACTCGAACTTAGGACGAAAATGTGCACTTGAGGAAATGATGGCAGGTATGCAGCTATGCCTGACTTTCACAATATTTAGATTCCAGCGAAAAATATACAAACAAACTGGGGAGTTTGCTATGGCATCACCAATATCCCCGGTTGAAGCAGATATATCCATAGATGGATGGGAAAACATAGCGATTAAAACGTTCAACCCAAACCAAAAAGTATGATAAAAGCATGTCGATGACTTTTTCACTGTACTTGGAACACAAGATATAGATAGATTTTTCGAAAACATCAACTCACAGGTGGAGGCAATTCAATTCATTTATGAATTGGAAAGTCAGGAAGAGGAACACCCAATGTTAGACTGCAGAGTAAGACGAAAGAAGATGGAAAGTCAAACACTAGTGTTCACAGGAAACCCACACATTCAAACATATATAAGGATTTCTAATCATCCCATCGTATGTCAATAAAAAAAGAATTGGTGAAATGTTTAAGTGACAGAGCACAGAAACTAAGTAGTACCAGGGAAAATCTATGACAGTAAGTGAGGCACGTAGGAGAAGCTTTGAAACTTACTAATTACCCTGATAAATTAGTCAGAAATATGCAGGGAAATGTAAAAATAAAAAAATAATGATACTAGCGATAGTAATAACAATAATGGTAATATTCATGAAGACATGCATGTCGAACATGCACAGGATAATGACAACACCAACAATAAGGAATTTAAATCATCAGTAGTAATTCCATACAAAGAAGAAACCTCGGAAACCACCTTCCGCAGAATTCTTAACAAGACAAGAATAAAAGTGGAATTCAAACCCACAAACTCAATTAAAAACAAGCTTTGTCATTTAAAGCATCAATCTTATGCAGCCAATAAAACAACAATTTAACTTATCTAATACCTTGCTTCAATGATTGTCAGGTCAAATATATAGGTCAAAGTATTAGAACATGTGCTGTCAGACTGCCGAGCACAAAAACCTAGCAAATTCTAGATTAGTTGACCCGAATAATATAAAAAACATCTGGAGAACATTTCAGCTATAGCACTATATGCAATTACACAAAACCGTAAAATAATATGAGATAGGATGGCGTTTATAAGATCCAGTGACACAGGGTGGAGGGGGAGATTGATAACAGAAGCTTGCCTTACCGAATCAGTTACAAGTATGTGTATTGTGAGTGGTTAAACACCTACCTCAGATATCTGGAAAATTCTACTACCTCTAGAACAAATAGGGGAGGACAGAGAGAACTATGAAACTCAAGTTACAAGTGATGTGATCATGAACAATAAATTTTGTTCGAAATGTTAACCATTAAATAATACTGTCTCACTGTGTGATATATCTAATAAACAAACTTATATGGAATTATTTACTACGACAGTGTCCAACTTATTCACATATATTAATGTATCTATGTATATTTATGTATTTAAATGTGACTATACAACTTTTGAAAATGAACTCGCTGTAAGGATATCTTTGCTGAATTCCATATTCTCCTCTGTCTAATTACTGAATGAACGTCAACACGTCTGTCTGGTTATATAACTTGTACCTGTCCTCCATGATTTTCAGTTTGACATAGGGTAAAAGTCCTGATAACATGTCTTCAGAAGACTCAGTGTTCAGAAGAACATCTTGTTTTTATCGTTTTCTCTCGGTCACTTACCTTAGCGGTTGTATTAACTTTGTGTGACATAAAGCAACACTGGTTTGTTTAAAGGATATGTGACGAAAATAAATAATGTATTCGAGAGAATCTGAATATGGTGGCTATAGATTCGAGTATTGTGTTGGTTAACAGATTTCATTACAAGCGTTAATGAAATAAACGACTAGAGAAATGATACAAATACATCTGTTCAATAAAAGTGCTTGTGAATAAGGACATCTATATAATCAACGGTCTCAGTCTGTTGACATTGAGTAATTGAGCAATGCCACATCTTACCCTTTTGCTTTCTAGACAACGACAATGTTTGAAAAACTGGATGATCTTGAAAGAGAAATTCCTTGTCAGCAGATAGGACTTCATCAATCACCTTCTTTTATTTTCCATATAGAAACGATATCGAACTGCATCCTGTTGTCACAATTTCTCATTATTCGTCGAATGACTAATCACACCTCCGTCGTCACAGATTGAGAAAAACGTCTTGTGTCGTAGAAATGATGAATCAATCGATGAGCGGTGTCAGTGGAAACTCATTTTCCGTGTTATTGAATTCTCGTCATTTCCCCATGATTAAAAGTGAAAATATGCTTCATTATGAAGATGTAATGAGACAACGACGTACACTGCATTTCGTAGTAAGCATATCATGTAATAATACATATCCAAATTCAAAAATAAACCGACTGTTTTCCAACACTCTGAAAATAATGAATGAAAACAATGCTTGGTAAAACTATACACCTACAAGCTGTATGTATGTATGAATGAAGCCCATAGAATCTCTCTTTATTGGTGAGAAATGAAAGCGTGATCAAGCGTGACTACACATGAATATATTCCGGTAGCTAAACACATGAAAAAATGAGTCTAAATTAATCGAAATGTGCACAAATTCGATAAAAACGTCATCAATTTTCAGCAGATTAAAGTCTAATTATTTTGTGTTTACAGCTAATATTCATCTTTCAGTTTCATATGAATTTACACTGAATAATCTAGTCAACAAAATAGAAATGAGTACTGTATAGAGTGGTTATCTTAATCGATCAGGAAGTGAATCCCTGTGAGCAAAATTTAATAATACATATCGTAATTAATCAGTGCCAATGGTTGTGATCATATTTCTCCAATTTATTGCCAACCAGTACACAATTAACCAGTAACAGCCTTCTT